ATGATACATGATGATGATACATGATAATATATGATGATAGATGATGATGATACATCATGATACATGATACATGATGATGATACTCGATGAGGATACATGATAATACATTATGATGATACATGATAATACATTATGATGATACATGATAATACATTATGATGATACATGATAATACATTATGATGATACATGATGATGATACATGATAATATATGATGATGATACATGTTGGTGACGATGATGATAGTGCCATTACATATCAATGCAAGGTTATTTTCTGAACCACTTGCAGCAACCATCTAAAAAATACCCATCTATGCACCGAATCGAAATATGGCGACCAATTTGAATAACTATTGTTCTGGACTGACTAGCGACTGACTAGCCTCTCATACATGTGAAAATGCTTTTATGTTTCCACGTGAACACGAGGCTAGTCAGYCACTAGTCAGTGCAGAACAATAGTTATTTAAATTGGTCGCCATATTTCGATTCGGTGTATGAAATACCCATTTTTTCAAATTCACAGACTTACCAATGGGTTCCTTATCAAAGTCAATCATCACTGTCCCAGCAATAGCATAAGCTATGACTAGAGGAGGAGAGGCCAGGTAGTTGGCTCTAGTCAATGGATGAATGCGACCCTCAAAGTTACGGTTTCCTGACAATACTCCGCAAGCTACCAGGTCACCCTACAAGGCAAAAGCCATACGAATCAATTTTTCAAACCTCTCTTCTCAGTTCTGCTATAAAAACTTCAAAAAGTCTTGGCAGCAGAGGCATATTTGTATATACATTCTGGGGTTGAGGAAAAAAGCATTTATCTTTTTCGACCTCTGTATTTACTGCTATTTATTAAACATGTAAACCCTGTAGCTGCGAGCCGCAAGCTGAAATTTGTTTTTTCGCTGCTGCCAGTCAAAAATATGAAAGGTACCGACTGATTAGGTTTGATTGACGGCAGTAAATAACCAAATTTCAGCACACAGTTCATGGAAATAGCAGTAACAAAATTTTCCCATTTCGCAGGTGTCATTTAGTAAAGTAAAGTATCATTCATTTCTTTGTTTAACGGTTGAGCAAGAGAAGACACTTCATTTTGGATATAACTCAAACAAAGAATCTCATTCTTAAGAGAATGAAGGATGAAACAGTCTGAAATGGAGGGAACATTATGTTGGAAGGATGGTAAACAGGTGTATTTAGCACCCATATATCAACCCCAAGTATTTCTATAGTCTGTAACTTTCTTTTTTTCAGTAGTGTTAAATCCCAGTGTTTATTCTTGTCAAGTGCATATAAAAGTCTTCAGAAATATTTTGTTTTGATCGAAAAATTATGATAAAAACAAAGTTCTATAGTCTGTACCTTTTCTATTGCTTCAGCTACTGGTTCAGGAAGAGGGCCAGAGTTACCTATACATGTCATACAACCATAACCAACCACTGAAAACCTGACAAGAATACGATCAATAGGTGAGTGATTTGGGCAGTTGGTTGACCATTTGGTCAGCCATTATCTATTGCAAGAATTGTGTAAACAAGTTAAATTTAATGTCTGCTGCAAAGTGAGCTCCTTTTTCTTCTGCATCTCTTCCCTTTCAGTTCCTTTCATTTCCCTTTTCTTCCCCTCACTTTCTTTTTTTTTCCTGCTTTACTTTTCTTTCCTTCCTTTTGTTTCCCTTTCCTTTTCTTCCCTTTGTTATGTTTCCTTCCCTTCCCTTCCCTTTCCCTTCCCTTTCCCTTCCATTCCCTTTCCTTCCATTCCCTTTGTTATGTTTCCTTCCCTTCCCTTCCCTTTCTCTTTCTTTTTCCTTTCCTTCCCTTTCCTTCCCTTTGCTTTCCTTCCCATTTCATTTCATTTCATTTCATTTCCTTTCCCTTCCCTTCCCTTCCCTTTCCTTC